CCCCAAAACCCCAAAACCCCAAAACCCCAAAACCCCGAGGATAATAAAATTGATGGCAAAATAAGTTTTATGATAAATAACTAACATAGAGTGAATAAGAAGAAGAGATGAACAATAATCACAGGTTGTGATGATGAACGTGCTCCATTGTAGAGAAGAAGAAGTCTTCTTTGTGAGTCAACTCTACATGTGTACCATTCAACTTAAATCTTAGGACTCCATTGTTTTCTTGAAGTTTCTTTTTCAAAGATTCAACATTGTGGGCGAGGACAAAGCTCTTGATATCATTTACGAAATTAACTTTTTCAATGTTGTGAGCTCCATATTTTTCACTTAGCTTAGTCTCATCAAAAGAAAAGACTGGGTTGCAAATTCTAAGCTTGATAACATCTTTCTCATTATTAGGGTTTGCATATTCAGTCTCAGCGATTTGAACACTATGAGATGGTCTAGTAGAATGATTAAGGAATGGCACCTTAACAGCAGTCTTCATAGTCTTTTAATTGTCGCTTACAATTTTTTCGAAAGCAGAACCATTGGCATACTCGTAGTAGATTTCAACAACGTCATCGATGTTTAATTTTGCTGCTTTTCTAAGTTTTTAGATTTTATTGACAATCTCTCTGGCAATTCCCATACCCTTAAGATTTTCGTCAATTCTCAAGTCAAGAATAACACTAGTTTGTTCATTGCAATCAGATCCAAGATTCTTATCTTGCTTGATCTAATCGTTGAATCTTTTAGTAATCTTTAGCCATCCTTCTTGGATTTCAACTCCATCAATAGTAACTTTACCATTCTTAAGATACTCAACTGCTTGATCTCTTGACAAGTTTGACACTTTTTCCTTTAGCTGCTTTGTATATTGCTTTTTCAAAGCTTATCCCATTTCTCTATGATCTGGATCAGATATATATTGAATGAATGCTTCCTCATTTTGCTCAATTTGGAAGTCAAGGCAATTCAATTCTTCTTTGATATATTGTTGAACCTTCTATAGATCTTCAATAGTTTGTTTATCAGACTCAACTAAAGTAACCTTGCTTAATGGGTTTTTAACTGAGATATTGCTATTGTCTCTAATTTTTCTTCCAGATTCAATTGTGGATTGCATCTTTTGAACCATGCTCTCAATTCTTTCATTAATAAGGGCCTCGTTAAAATCTGGAATTGAAAGGAAATGGATTGAATCAACTTGCAATGTAGTATCATTTTTATCAATACCATTTCTCAAATTTTGATAGATGTACTCACTGAGGAAAGGAGTAACACATGATATCATGGTAGTTGTATTGAGAAGTACATCAAACAAAATATTCAAGCTGGTCAATTAGTCATCATGACCTTCTTCACCCTTCATTCTTGATCTGTTTAATCTCACATACCAGTTGGTAAGCTCTTCTAAGAAGTGGAGTAAATGCTTTACTACATTGTAAAGCCTATAGTTATCCATCTCATTTCTTACATACTTGATTAGATTTTGATTTGAGGCAATAATCCATTTATCCATAATGTTTGAATCCTCTGAGGCAAATAATCTTTCCTTCATTTTTGGATCATATGTGAAATTTTGCTGGGTGCTCTTTTCCCATCTTGAAATGTTTTGGATAAGGAATCTATAGGCGTTGAACCAAGGCAAGAAGACATATTTAACAATATCATTGACTCCCTCTGATTTGAATTTAAGAGGTTCAGCTCTAACAACTGGACTATTGCAAAGATATAATCTGCAAGCGTCAGCACCGAAGTTGTGTGCAATTTCTAGTGGATCTGGATAATTTTTCTTACTCTTTGACATCTTTTAACCATCCTCAGCTAATACAATACCATTGACAATAAGGTTTTTGAATGGCTCGCAGCCTTTAACAGCTGTTGAGATAACCATCAGAGTATAGAACCATCCTCTTGTTTGATCTAATCCCTCAGCAATGAAGTTAGCAGGGAATCTCTTGTTGAAGTCCTCCTCACTAATAGAGAATGGGTAATGTGCTTAAGCAAATGGCATAGATCCAGATTCAAACCAGCAATCAAAAACTTCTGGAATTCTTCTTAACTCTCCTTTGCCCATCTTTGAGGGAATGGTAATGTTATCAATAAACTCTCTGTGCAAATCTGTGATTTCTCCACATCCTGATAATTCTTAAAGTTCCTTAATTGAACCAACACAGATGATTTCTTCCATATCCTCTGATGCCCAGATTGGGATTGGATTACCCCAATATCTGTTTCTTGAGAAGCACCAGTCTTTAGCATCTCTAAGCCAGTTGTGGAATCTCTTTTCTTGAACAAAAGCTGGAACCCACTTTGAATTTTCATTGTTCTTGAGCAGTTAATCCTTTATATCTGTAACCTTAATGAACCAAGTATCAATTGCTCTGTAAATCAATGGAGTTTGAGATCTCCAGCAGAAAGGATAACTATGAACCTCAATGTTCTAGCAAACTAGTCTCTTCTTTTCCTTTAAGTGTGCTTTGATCTAGTCATCTGCAGTTTTAATGTAGACTCCTTTATAGTCAGAAATAATGTCTGTGAATTTTCCGTCGAAATCTACTGGGCAAGGGGCTTAACCTGGTTGGATAAGACCATTAGCTAAGCAAGCCTAATAATCTTCCTCACCAAAGCCTGGGGCACAATGCACAATTCCAGTACCAGTATCGGATGTAACAAAATTAGCTCCTATAACTTAGAAACATTTTTCCTCTCTCATGTGTGAGTAGTAATCAAATAATGGAATATAGCTCTTTCCTATAAGATATTCACCCTTAGTTGTTTCTAGAACAGTGTGTTTCTTAATGTTGGCTTACTTCAAGGTATATTGAAGTCTGCATTCAGCGAGAATATACACTTGATTCTTTTCGTCGTCTCTGATCTTAATGTAAGTGAAATCTGGGTTAATGGCAAGAGCAAGATTACTGGGAAGGGTCCATGGAGTAGTTGTCCAAGCAATAAAGCTAGTATCTGGATCATCAACCATTGGGAAAGTAATAATGATAGCTGGATCTTTCACTTCTTTATAATTTGAACCAGCTTCGAAGTTTGAGAGAACTGTTGTGCATCCAGTTGAGAATGGCATAATTCTAGAACCTCTGTAGACAAGTCCCTTATCGAATATTTGTTTAAAAGTCCACCAGACACTCTCCATGAAATTACAGTCCATAGTTTTATAATCTCTATCGAAATCAATCCATCTTCCGAATCTTCCAACGTAATGTCTCCAATCTTTTGAGTAAGTCATAACAATCTCTCTACATCTTCTATTGTATTCCTTAACTCCAATCTGTTCTCTTTCCAATTGAGAATTGATCTTATCTCTCTTATCAATTTCATATTCAATTGGAAGTCCGTGGCAATCCCAACCGAATCTTCTGTCAACGTGATGACCTTTCATAGTTGCATATCTAGTAACAACATCCTATTTGAATCATTAATAAGAATATGATTTATATCTTTGATGATTATTATGGCTGACGTTTGATTCTAATCAAAGCAGTGTACTTTGGTCATATTAAAACATCAGCACTTTCTTTATCAATTTCTTAGAGTTTTACCTTGATTGTACCAGCAGCAATATGACCGTAATGAGGTAGACCAGTAGCGAAGGGGGGACCATCATAGAAAGTGTATTCCGGTTTTCCCTCGGTTCTCTTCAATTATTGCTGGAAAGCATCAATCTTATTCCAGTATTCTAAAACTTTTTCTTCCTCTTGTGGGAAGTGAGGCCTCTCGGGCACTAAAGAATAAAGTTATTAACTAATTATTTTCATCGAAATAGTCTTACCTTTTGCGAATTTTGAATGCATGTAGAAGTCTGTGAAGATATACCTTCTTTAACCTTATAGGTAGTAGTACTTTGAATAATTAATAATTTTAGAGACCTACTTAATCATTATATAGTTTAATTATCAAATAACAATGGAAGGTATTATTAATACACTTTGATATTGCATTTTATATCTATAATCGATGTAGGATCAAACGATGACTTCACTTCCACTTAGAAAAAAGGTGGTAGAAAGAATCCAAAGCATAAAGACCACAAAGAGACTATCTTAGTGACATAGCAACAAGCTGTTGAGAATAAGAAAAAGAAAAAGCAGCAGTAGGCAAACTTTATGTATGGAAATGCAGCAGAACAAACAAATGAAGAGGAGGAGAAAAACCCTGAGGTTAAACAAGTAGTAGAGGAAGAAGAACCTGAGGAAAAACAAAAGAAAAAGAAGCATCAAGGCAAGAGAGGCAAAAAGGGAGGTAAATAGCAATAGGATTCCGATTAAGAAGAGGAAAAAAAGGTAGAAGAGGTAAAATAAGTGGAAGAGATTAAAACTCAAGAAGTTGAGGAAACTAAAGAGGAAAGTAAACCAAAGTTTCCTCTTGAAGTTATTTATTGCAAAAGTAGAATTCTATTTCAATAATCATTATTTAGTCTGTGATATTCCTCCTGAATATTGCTAGAATACCAAGAAAGACTTTTCAGAATGTTAAGAGTGGTTGAAATTGACCCATCCTGAACTTTATGAATAGATTTATCCTGAAGAAGAGAAAAAATAAGAGGAAGGTGGAGATAGTAAACCATCTGATTAAAATAAATAATAACAGAAAAAGAAGAAGAAAGTTGGCTTTGGAACTGAAAATTAAGAGGTTAAAATATATAAGAATAAAAGAGGAGCCAAGAAGACCATTTGTTCAGTTGTTGGTCTTTAACACTATGGTGTAAATCTGAAGGACATTGCAAAAGTTATGAGTAAAAAGTTTGCATGCAGTGCTGCTGTTACAAATGAAGATAAATATGGTGAATGCATTTAAATTCAAGGAGATATTCAAGATAGATTCGATGAATTCCTAGATAGTGATTTAGGCAAATATAATATCCCACACAATAAAGTTAAGTTCGAAGAAGTAAAGAAGAAGAAAGCAGCTGCTGCAGAGGAAGATGAATGATAAAGTTGTATATTTTTGCGCAATTAATTAGCATTCTCTAAACTAATAAAATAAAACCATGCAGGGGTTTTGGGGTTTTGGGGTTTTGGGGTTTTGGGG